TTTAAAGCCATTATTAGACACCGAAAGCCTCACCGGAAGACACACTTCGCTGTCCAACAATCCATTGAATTCTTCACAATCAGTGACTGTAATATAGTTTATGTGAAAGACATTAATGAGACACTCAGTGGACAATCATTTGGCGGTCAGTCCAGCGCTGATCCCACTCTTAACATACCATTCAATTTGAGCCTTAAGTCCAGTGAATTGGAGGCAAAAAATAACCTTTTGTTGCCTTATATTAAGTAAAGTTATAATTAATTTAAATTTATTAAAACATTTGTTAACAGAAGTGATATATCTTTCAGAACACATGAGGAAACAAAAGTCTTCTATGAATTCGACAAAAACGATGACATCGATGAAGAAGATCCAGACGAAGACCTCGATATTTGATGGCATCGATTGGCCTTTTGTTTATGTCATTCAATCCGTATATGTATTTAAAACTTAAATAAAAATTTTATTTTGTTCTTAACATTCAGTTTTTTAATAGTAAAATCATATCAAATACCATACAAAATAACAATTAGATAATAATTACTTTCATTTAATGAGTGTTTATAATATAATACAAATATTTCCTACAGAATAACACATTTAGGAATAAATTTACGTTCAAAGAATTTCTTATCAATTATTTTGTCGTTGATTTCAATTGATCTCAATTTCGGACACTTTTGCCAAATTCGCTTTAAATCGGATTTTCTAAAGTCTTGATAATCATTATAACTGATGCACAACTCTTCCAATGACGACAATCTTGTGATACAACGCAACCATTTCTTGTCAACATATGTGTAATAACTAGGGTTGTGACACTCGGTAAATTACAATTTTACCGCGGTAATTTACGGTAATTTACTTGTAAATTACCACGTTTTCTGAATCTTACATGTAAATTACAACATTCAAACACGTGACTTGTCAAAATATAAAGAAATTTTGATATTAGTCATGTCCAAAATGCCAATAATTTATTAATTAAAAAAACTTTAATTTTGAAAACAACTTATTACTAGATTTATAATTAAAATTGAGAGAAAATAATGACTTTATTAATAATAAATAACTTGCAAAATTGTTTTTATTTAATATTTTTGTTTCAAAAATTATAAAAATTCCGAACTTAATTGTAATTCTAATAGTAATTCTGTAAATTTAAATAATATTACAAGTGATAACTATTGTAATTAGGTATATAATTAATATTCCATAAAGAACTGGACATTAATTCAATTTATTTGTGGAAAATTACCAATTTTACCGAATATTACCGTAAATTACCGAATATTAC